TCCACAATGCTCGAAAAATGCTAGAAAATGTCAAAAATGTGAAAAAGTGTGAGCGTTTGGAAGAGTTGGCCAAAAATTCTAAATAAATTCTGGAAAGTAAAAAATATAGCGTGTTCAGAGTGGCGAATTAAACATTTTTGAAAAATTCGGACTGAACCGGATTTTTACTTCCCGAGCGTAAGCAAAGGAAGTATTGTAATCGAGTCCGTCGGCCAACTCTCTACTTTTACGTTTTCTCGACTTTTCATGACCCCTAGAGTACGAAAAAATAGGTCTCCCTGCTGCAGTTTTTGGGTACCTATGGTGTATTTTTGGGAGCCCATGGAGATTTTTTGTAAATTATTATTTAAAAAAATTTTGGGGACTTCGGTCTTCTATTTTTGGAGCGCCAACCGCCCGCCCTCTCTTTTCTTAGGGGGTATGTCACTTGCTAAAATTAGTCTTATCATAGCAGGTACTAGCCCCGCCCACCCAGATACTAGTGGTTTTTTCGTAATATACATCATAAATAATTTTTTTATTATTTTTTTGGGACTCTCGAAACATCCTTATGTAATATACTGAAGAGTTAATCCGCCATTTTCCAGACACCCGGTATAATGGATAAATCAATAAGTGACATCAACGAAACGAAATCAGTAAAGGATAATTTCAAAATTGTTTTGTATTTTATTTTTTGTAGTTAGTAGATAGTCATGTTTTTACGTTGTAGTTTGTCAGAGTCAAAATTTTTAAATGATTTTTCTTTCCAAAATGTCTGTAATATTTTTTTCTACAGCGGAAACGTATTATTATTACACAGATGACTCGAAAAAACATTAATGAAGAAGTCAATTTATTTTATTGATTAAATCAGAAACGGCTCACTTGATTTTCCCGAAAATTTCGGAATATGATGCTCGTATTATTAATATTACACCAGCGTGTTAAAATTGATGTATGTATCCTTGCAAAAATGTTGATGACGTCAGTACAAAATTTTATGAAAGAAAACTCATTTGAAACATACACTTAGCACGCTTCTTTATAGTTAGTTAATTTATCATTACATAGGGGAAGGGGGCCTAAAGCGGGCATAGAGCCTAAAGCGGGCACTCTCTTTAGTTTTGGCGTTTCAAAAGATGGTGCGCCCTAACCGCGCGGACATAGTGCATCCCCCCCCGCATACTTCACATCAGTCGCCCGGGTCTCCTGCGAGTACCCAATTATGTGCTGTAATAAATAAATAATTTTCACATGGTTTTGAAAAATATTGCAAAGTGTGTCACATCGGTTTTTTCAATGTTTGTGATTTTTAAACTAAAAATGAAATTCGTTAGTCAATTTGTGTTTATTCGGCTACCATAAGGTAGCAGTTAACTGCCACTTGTCGCATCATTTTGAGTTTAGATGTTGTTTGCAATTTTAATTGTCGAAATGGGCAAAGCGGGCAGGGCAAAGCGGGCACTTGTCCGGTTTGTGCTTCTAGTGTATTTACTAAATATCTATAGTTGTTTCGAAAAGAAGAACAAAGGCAATGTGGAGTCTGTGAAACAAATTATAAAAGAAGAACTTGCTGAAGATAAAACGAAGTCTAAGAAGTGAAAAAACCAAAAAGAAAAATACGAGATATATCGCTTTAAAAAAATTATATTTCGAATTACCAAACTTCAGTCCAGGGGACCTTCATATTTATATTCATATCTAGTCTACAGTTTTTACAAAAAAAAAATATATAAAGTTGAGCAACTTTTACATCACACTTTAATCGGCACACTGATGCATTTTTTGACGAAGTGCTGAAGAGGTTTGCATTTTGAGATAGAAGGTCCTCTGGGGAAAAGTGTCAGCTTTCCTTTGATACCATTTATAATCCTAAAAAAATCCATGACTGAGGTAAATAACTCTCGAAAAGTCAAAATCTATTAAAGTGAGCTTACTTAACTTCTGGTTTGGTTGCAGACTTCAGTATTTCTAAAATGCAATTCCGGAAACCCCGACAATGTTTTCAATGTATTTAGTATAGAGCGAAACCGAACCCGACGCCAACCTTAACCATTGCCTGGTTTGCCCTAGCTGAATGCCCGCTTTAGGCCTCCCCGTAGGGCAAAGCGGGCAGTTGTAAAGATTTAGTTATCTGCTTGTAACTTTTTTTTTAATAAACTTTCTTCAATTTTAGTTATGCATCATTGAAAAGGGTTAAATCAAGCATTATAATATAAAAATTTAAAGGATCTAGATTATCCATAAACGACTTTTTTTAATATTTTTCCTTATGGTGCCCGCTTTGGGCCCTCTTCCCCTACATATCTTTATTAATTAATTTATTTGAACCTATAGGGGTTAGCATAAAGAAATAAAATTCGCAAAATAAATTTTAAAATTGTTCTAAAATGTTGGATATGCTTTATTGTACTACAGAGGCGAGAGAAATTCTATCGAAATAACCTTCGACCATTTTTTTTTCTAACAACATTAGGTATAAGGAATTCACGTTCGGTAGATGTAACTAGATTTGGTAACTTTTTTTTTTAAGCTGTGTAACTGCGGACATAATTGTTCTAGTGTATAATGTATCAGAAAGTAGGTATCAAAAATGTGACATGTAAGTAAGTAAATGTCAAACATCGAAAATGTGATGGTTTTGTGGTAATCTGCTGAATCTATTTTTGAATCAAGGAGAAAATTACTTCCCTCTAAAAGCCCAAAGAGGAACCCGCATGTAAAATTGTGAATCTTTTCCCTTCACTAGTTTTTTTAGGAGGACAAGATTTGATGTCATCATCATGTATCCACAATTTTACCCACGGCCGATTTTACCACAGATCCGTTTTGATATATCTATGTCTCATCTAAGGAAATGAAAAGTAAATCTTCATCATCATCACGCAATTGGAGATACCGCCTTAGAAATTTGATTCTGGTAGCGTGGTAGCTATAACGTGTTTAAAATGTGAAAAACTTTGCCTTCGGAAACCTAAATTTATGCGTGTATTACGTACAATTATTCTCAAAGCCGAATGTTTTCTGCGCAGTCGTCTTTCTGATTCTGATTATAATATTAACGGCACCGGCGCCATTGTATCGGTATTATTTTAAAATTCGAAAAGCACTCGTCAACACCAGAGAACTTTACGGAAAATATGTTTGCCACCAGTTTAACTGTTTCCGTTTTACCCAAACGTTGTCCATTTTTCTCTGTAATTTTTTGATAACCCCGAAATATTTCTTGTCTCTTTTTCTTTAAAATGGGTTTTCTTGTGACTATTTTTGTGGAAATTGTTTCCACGCTGTATTTAAGGATTTTCTTGAAACGAAGCGTGTTGAAACTAGAAAAACTTTGTTTTTTTCCACACAAGTCAGATTTGACATTTGAATTAGAAAATTAGACAGTTGATGCCAATCTTTAGTTTCTAGTGATCTTAAGATTGCAACTTAACCACAGAAAAGTTTCTGTCAGCTACTTCTACCGAACGTGAATGCTTATTACATGAATGAAAAGGCACTAAGGACATTTCCAGGTATTAATCAAATACAGCGATTGCGGTACGATTTTCACGTAAAAACTTTATAAAATAGAAGTAAAATGCAATTAAGTTTTCATATCAATCGCATGGGTAATAAAATTATTGCAATGTAATATTTAATACAAAAGTAGACATTTCGTTGAAGATAATGGAACCAATTACACTGATCTTGTTCTTGATGCGTTTGCGGAAATCGTTACTTATTATGTTGTTACTCAGACGTCCAGCGAAATTTTGATATAAGAAATATTTGACATATTTACGGAAAAATTTTCCTTGATATGATCTGGCACAAGTAATTTACATTTTTTGGTCTATATATAATAATTTGGGAACAAACTTTTGATTGTTGTTGTTTTAAAATTTGTTACTTTTCTAAAGTATTTGAAATGTTTAGAAATTAATTTTTTATGTTGGAAAATGGTGGATGCGCCGGGCAAATTTAAAATGTATGTGTAAATTGTACATTAAAAAAGAATTCGAACTGTGAAAGTCGTAAAAGCTTTACAAAAACAAAATATAGCTGTTATAACTACACACTTTTAAGAGCATTTTGTTCTGAACATTTACTATAACAAAACTCATAAAAGTTTTTACTTTGGCAAAAAATTAAAGACGTAGTTGAAACAAATATCCGCGACTATGGCGTCATCATGAAAGTTAAATTATTCACCAATCTCAAGAATAAATCAATCGTGCTTCATTCTCCACGCGACTTCTGAGCCACCTGTAGATCCCCACCATCTCAATCTGCAAGCAAATAAACCCCACCAACAATCGAATTTACCGCCCCAGGCCGATAAACATCCCTCCAGAGCCGCCCATGTTTGCGTGTTGGCAACACTGAACGCAGACCGGTTTACATAGCTGCCGACTGCTTCTGGTGTGTACAAGCGCACAGACGGATGTACATATAGGTGTACAGAGCGGAAGTGACAGGCACGAGACGCATTTAGAAACACTCAGCTTGCGGCACATAATCTTACGTAACAGGCACGCGCACTATGTATTCTTCCGAGACTTCTCTGCAACAAATTAAAGCCGCTCCATTCAAACAGGGCCCAACTGTGATAAAAATGTGACATGCAATACGCACAGGGACACTTATGCTAATTCGCATCGATGCGAGATTTGTGTTCGTGCACCCATGTGGCCAGAATAACTGCCATTTTTCGGAGTGAACGCGCCGGGAGACCGGGAGAGGGACGTGGGGTGGTTGACCTAGTGTTTAGCAACAAGTAGGTTTTTAATGGGAGTGGCGGGAGTGGTGGAGTACTTTACTCGTTATTGACGGGTTTGAGTAGGAATTCGTTGCATTGTTTATGTCAAATAAATAGATAGATATAAATAACGTACAGGGTGTGAATTAGCTTCACGTTTGGGGTTGGCGTTTGGTGTTCAAATCGTGGTTTTTAACAGTTGCATGCTGTTGCTGCGATGAGGTGGACAAGAAATAACGCATACATAATCTGAACGAGAATTAATGATGAAATGGTTTCTACTATGTGAAAATTTAATTGCTCATCTATTTTAAAGGATTCGTTATTTTGGGGGATCATTAATTGTTTCACAAAATAAGGATGTACTTTTTGGTTCTTATTTATTCACAGGTCAGATCAGCTCAGGTCAGGTCAAGTCTACTTTGGTTGGGTCACGTTAAGTCCCTGGGGTGGCTAACTACCAGGCGCGTCCCCCGGGTGGCGGATAGGGGAACGGCCAACTCTCGCAAGGGAAGTTGGTTAGTGACGGCCATAAGCAGGATGAGGGGCAGTAAAACGCCTCAATATTTTTGTGAAGACCGTTGCCGCGGACCACCCCCAGTAGTCACCCTGAACGACTGGTTCTTTCTTTCTTCCCTCTTCCATGCTTCTTCGTCTTTACGGATGGAAACTTTACACTTTATCTGTCGTCCTTCCTTGAACAACTCTTGTTTTCTTCCGGCCTTAAGGCTATCCGAGGCCTAGTGGTCTTTTCTTTTCCCACTATCCGGTTACCGATTATAATGATGAATAGCGATATGAACAGGGACAAGATTACGGTGCAGGGTACCTCGGATAACCCACTATGAGGAAGGAAAATGGAGGGAAAACAGGAAGTACAAGAGGAAATAAGGAAAGTAGAAGAAGAGTTTATGGAAAAATTTACGGAACAGAGAAGAAGGAGTTCGCTGGTAAGAACTCCGGGAGCGATACAGGATAGATTACCTAGTGACAAAGACCAAAGACTATTAGACTATATGGCTTCCTGGACGGAGGGAGTAAGGACACCGGTATCTAAGAAAGTTAATATATTTAAAAAATGCAGATAGATATACAATGTATAATTCTAATGAAGTAATCATTTTAATTTTTACATTCTTCTGTTGTTTTTGATAACTGTACGTAAATAACAACAACAGTTTTTTCAGACAAGCTGGAAATACCACCATTAATCACTGAAGATACTCCCGCTGATTTTGAAGAACTTACGGTGATTGTTTTTGAAAGTGAGGCGCTTTGCCACAACATGTTGCAAAGGTATGTTACTGCAATTTTTTATGAACTAGGTGCTAATGAACATAATTTAACTCTAGACTTGAAACAAATACAAAAAATATGTGCGAAACAAAAGAAATTCTAAAGGAAACGAGTGAACAAATTTCCAATATGACAACGTCATCAAATGTGACAAATCAAAAAGAAAACAGTAATAGAAGATATGCCGCCAAGACCACAGGTAAACAAATTTTGAGGAATTAGAAGATTATCTCTGCCTACTACAACAAGCAGGCTTCTTTGTAAGTTAAAAAAATACAATTAGTCCAGTCAAATTAGCGATCAACCTCGGAATGAGAGATAATAAGCTGAATTTTCGTATATACCTTCATTTTAGCGTTCTAAAAGTTGTCTCAAAAGTGTCATAAAATCTCGTGTCTGCGTCGTAAGTTATTCAAGGTCAAAGGTCAAGAAAAACATTATTTTGCGATTATCTCGGTTTCTATTGCTCTAATGATGTTAACACCTATTATCATAATTGTAGAGCACAACTTTGGGACAAATTTTATTTGAAACATTTTTTGATACACTTAATCGTTTTTGAGATAGAGGGCAGTGGGCGCGCAGCGTTCATCCATACATACTGTAATGCAATCAACCGTGAATATCTGTGAATACTACCTTGAATTTTGAAAAATTTGTATTATTTATCAGTTAATACATTGCATTTAATAACATTTTGCATATTTTCAATACATTTATTTAATGATACTTACCTACTTTGTGTAATTAAAAACTCTTTAAATGACATATTTATTGTAAGTATATCTTAGGTAGATTATTATATATCTTAAAGTTATATTAATTTTTTCAAAGTAAATTTTAAGGAAGTAAAACGAGTTAATATATTTTAATTTTATCTTTATTCAGCAGCTGTACATTTCTTACGATTGAAATTGGATTGCAGTGAAAATCTATAAATTTTTAATAATTTAAAGAACAAAAGTATCAATTTTCTTCTTCTTCACCGTCATCTTCTGGACGTTCGGGAATTTCTGTTTCGTCGTCGTCATCTTCGGTGCCCTGAATTGTTGTTTCCAGACCTTCCAGTTATAATCATGATAGAAAAATAAGTATTTAAAAACTTACACATTTTAAAGATATAAATAAATTGAGATATACAATAAATATTTCATTAAATGAGTTTTTAATTACACAAAGTAGGTAAGTATTATTCTATGAATATATTGAAAATATGTAAAATGTTATTAAATGCAATGTATTAATTGATTAATAATACAAATTATTCAAAATTCAAGGTAGTATTCACAGATATTCACGGTTGATTGCATTACAGTACGTATGGACGAGCGCTGCGCGCTCACTGTCCTCTATCTCAAAAACGATTGAGCGCATGAAAAAATATTTCAAATAAAATTTGTCCCAAATTTTGTGCTCTACAATTATGATAATAATTATTAACATCATTGGAGCAATAGAAACTGAGATAATTGCAAAAAACTGTTTTTCTTGACCTTTGACCTTGAATAACTTACGACGCATACACGAGATTTTATGAGACTTTTGAGACAACTTTTAGAACGCCAAAATTAAGGCGTATACAAAAATTCAGCTTATTGTCTCTCATTCCGAGGTTGATCCCTTTTTTATGCTAAAATTACTGGACTAAATATATTTATATGTACTTACATATAACATAATCTTGGATATTATATACAGGTAGATGCCTGTAATACTATAACACTTTTTAGGAACCTGCTAAACATGACACATTTCGCTTAACACGTTACATACATAGTGGGTTGCAGAAAAGTCTTATAGTGAAGCAGCCTGTATGTTATACATACGCGGTGACTTCCAAATAGATTGGGAAAAAAAAATCCTTTAATTGTCACACGGATTCAAAGTAATTAAATTGCTGCTCCAGTTTCAAGAAACAAATACGGAACATCTTGTTAAATGTAAATGATGCGGCAATGATTTATTGAGTTTCCATTGTGACTAATTTTTTTCTTTATTTTTGCTGTGTGTTGCTTAGATGAAAACAAATGGCACTGAATGAGGTGTAGATCTTGATATATTTTTGTCCCCTGAATTAGGACTAGATAAAAGAAATTACTTAAAATTTTCTCTAGTTCGTGATCTTGTGGTTTTATTTTCCGAACTTATTTCAGAGTCACTCGATATATACACATAAAAATATTTTCTTCTTTTCTTATTTCAGGAACTGCTATTGTCCCAGATAGGTGGTAATGGGAAAAAGAACAATGTATATTAAAAAAAAAAAAATCAGCGAATTTGCTGTAGCTTGTTTGTTCGGTAGGAAAATTCCGAAATGGCTGGGACAAAAACAATGAATATTATGAAAGGTATTTTTTTTGCAATAAATATAATTATTACAATTTTTATTTTTGAAGAAATTACAATGAAGACCCATTCCGCAATAGAAAAAGAAGTAGAACAACGCTGCTCAGAGTGGCTAAGGCATTCTAGTCAACGCCTGAAGAAAGAAAAAACAACGACAGGGTATAGTTTCTGTGTCTTTTTTTAAGTGTAAATTATATTGTATTATTTTCGAATTAGGAAATCATATATATATATATTTATTTATTTATATTATGAATTTATATTAATTTTTGTATTTTATTACTTATTACATATTATATTTTTTCAAACATTGAATAAAATAATAATTTACTGTAAGCTCTAAATTTTACTCTCCATATCCATATCCCTAAATGGTAACTAGACTTTCTGAAATGCCTATTCATATCGCATAGATCATGTTAATAAAATATACTGAGAGTCATATGTTTACGATGTTGCGATATATACGTAACGTCTATGTCCATTTAATACGTTATATTGGCGTTTAAAATAAAACGTAACAGATACATCAAAATATAGAGAATCTAGCGACATACTAACACAACGTTATGATGATGTACCAGCGAGCACGTCTCTAGTCTGAAACAATGTGGATGTCACCAGTATGTTACAAGCATGGGTCACTGTTGATTACATTACATAGCACAGGGAAAGCAAATGTACGCAGTTTGGGATGTAACAGCTAACAAGATCGTAGACAGAGTTAAGTGGCATTAACATCGCTAAGACGTAACTGTGTTTACTGGGTATTTTTCGATAAGATTTCCTTTTCATGAATAAATAGTTCCGAACTTTCATGTTGGATTATCAAACTACAATTTCCATTGAAAAAACAAACCGTTCTAAGAAAATCGATAACTGGGTACATATTTTTTGTGTGTCTTTATCTTGAAACTCGGCTTTAAACGGGACTTGTTCTTCGTTATTACCATCGTTTTGGTTTTTTTCCGCGTTGATGTACATTTTATTTTTTTTTAGCTCATCATTCCATGTCTTCATGTTCCACTTAACATCATTTGGAAATTCATTACTCCAGTGCAAAGGATCGTCCTATCAAACGTGTGTCCCAGTATTCCGCATGATGTCATTCTTTCCTTGTGTTTTTCCGGTCTTGGTTACAAATCTGTTTCTCCCCTGTCTTATTTACGGGCAGGCATTCAAAATGAAGATTACAGCGACGTCTTAAGCTTCAGACGTCAAATATTTGTAACGCCGGATACTACAATAGAACTACCCTCCTCCTTGGGAATAAAATATGAAGAAACTAGCTATCGCATTTTCCTAATATATGATGACCAAGCTTGTTTAAAAGTTGCCAGACTGGTCATAGAGCCAGTTAGTGTACAAACCAACAACAACTTTCCCCTAATCCTGATCCGCTGACTGACATTGATGCTGCTACCACTTACGACGTTGCTACCACTGATGATGCTGCTACAACCGGCACAACATCCAACAATATGGTTACAGAAACTATGATATCCAATACTAGTAACGATGCTCTTGATTCTGCCACACATAAAAGATCCAACCCCTCCGACGATTCACCTGTCAATGAGCCCTCACTTCAAGAGGTGGTTCATGACTCCGGAACCCACCAGATATAGAAAAAACGAATGCCTTTCTGTGCTAGATCTGGCTCTCTCCTCTAACCCTGACTTAGTTGCTGATCTAGAATATTCTAGCCCAATCAGTAAATCTCACCATGTGACAATTCTGCCGAATCTTGAAATCAACATACAGGCTACAAATAAAATAACCATTACCACAAAGTCAATAACACAGGTTTACAAAAATCAAAAAAATTTTTTGGACTGAATATCTATTTATCATTTCTAATGTATTTTCGCTCGCTGAATTCAAATCCGTGGTCAGTTGTTCTCCAGCACGTCTAGATTTTGAGATTGCGCATTGTCATTCATCACTGGTCATCAAAAATTCGTTAAAAAGCACTCGACAAAGATGGTGCAGCCTTCAAATACTTACTCATAATTTTTCTACAGTTATCTTATGCCAAAATAAAAGAAGGACTATTTGTTGGTTCGGACATACGAAAACTGATGCAAGACAGCCAATTTACAAGATGTTTGTCATCGGACGAGGCGGCAGCACGGCAATCTTTTAAAAATATCGTGCACAATTTTCTCAGTAATAACAAAAGTCCCGATTACAAAGAAATTGTTGCAAAATTATTGAAGGATTATAAACAAATTGGGGCTCGCATGTCTTACATTTCCTTCATTCGCACCTAGATTTTTTTCCTGCTAACTAATTAGCCGCTATTAGTGATAAACAGGGCGAACGGCTACATTTCATTAATAAATTGCCAAGGTTTTTGGGATAAAGGTATGATGAGCGATTAATGCTGGATGTTGTTGCGTGAAACCGATGGTCAAAGGTATGTTCAACAAAGTAATACTGGGCTAGACTTTTAATTTTAAAGATTTTTGTAAGAAAACTATTAAAATTTCATCAAAACTTGTCATATTCAATATCTCAAAAACTTGACGTGATGGCGACAAACGGATTGCAGAATCGTGTTTAGCGTGCAAAATTGCTCTAAGAACACTAATTGCTTGCTTTGTCCAAAAATTAGTGTAAACCTGTGTAATTATTAATTATCAAATGTTAGAGAAAGATCTGGTGGAAGTTGACTGGGCGTCAACTCTTAAGTAGAATACTATATCTGAAAACTGGGAAGCGTTTAACTCCCAGCTTCAAGAACTAACCCTCCTCAACTCCATTCCTAGAGTATTTATGAAGTCCTTGGATTAATAATAATCAATTGGTTAAAATGATCCGTATCAAAAGAAATTTGTTGCGCTCCTTCAAAGGTTCTGGTAATGTGGTAGATTATGCTGCTCACCGAACTTTTCCAAATCAGTTAGCTTCGAAAATTAAAAGCGCTAAATCCTCATATGAAGCTCAACTTGCTCGAAATAAAAAACTTTAGTCTTTTTACAAATACATATGTGACACTTTTGGAGGATCAATTCGAAAACCACAGTTGAGAGATTCCACTGGTACACTAATTTCAAAAAATGACAAAATTGCAAATATTTTTGTAAGTACCTTTGCTGAAGGATATACTGCTGAACCTTCTTCAAATCCTCCTTTACTAGACTCCGAAACTTGAAGAAAACTAAATCCACTTGAGTGCTGCCATTTTGAATGATTGTGGACTAGAAATTGCTATGTGAATCATGTTCTAGGCTAATCATGTTGTTCAAAGCAATCTATATGTATGAAGTAAACAGAAAGACAAAAGATAGGCCCCACCCAGACTAAAGATAAGCCTCTCCCATCCGCCTTGATCTCAGTCTGGCTTTAATTTTTAATATACATTTTTTGAAGAACACGATGCTCGAAAACATGTCTTACATGGTAATGTCTTGGGAGAAATAAAGATTTTGCAATTAAGCTTCGCCCTCTTTGCTCACGACAAATGAAAAAAATCATCACAATTGAGACATGGCGGGTGGGTGGTGTTTATATTTTGACTTGTTTTTCTTAATTTCCGTAGTCATCTTTTCACAACAAAAATTTAAAACAGATGCCTACGCATATTAAGAAAGAAAGGCTTCAATATAAGCCCCGTCCACCCGCCCTATCTCAATCGTGATGATTTTATACCCTTCGTAAATCGTGGAGCGGAGCTTAATTGCAAAATCCTTGTTTTCCTACTAGATATTGCTATGTTAAACATGTTCTTGAGTAGTGGCGTTGTTTAGAGCAAGCATATGTATTAAGTTTTTAAGATAAGCCCCACCCATCCGCCTCGATCTCAATCTGGCTTTAATTGTTAATATACGTAGTATTTTTTGAACAACACGATGCCCAGAAACATGTCTTACATGGTAATTTCTTGTAGAGAAATAAGGATTTGGCAATTAAGCACCGCCCTCTTGGCTCATAACGAATAAAAAGAATTCATCACAATTGAGACAGGGCGGGTGGGTGGGGCTTATGTTTTGCCTTTTTTTTTAATTTACGTAGTCATTTTTTCACAACAAAAATTTAAAACAGATGACTACGCATACCTTGAGAAAAAAAGGCATAATATAAGTCTCCTCATGCAGCAATCATTTATCGCCGGTGAATTGCCTAACGATTGGAGAACAGCAACTGTCAAACCGATTTTTAAAAAAGGGGACCAGCTTGATGCTGGAAATTTTCACCCTATCAGCCCAACATGTTTGATTAGTAAGTTGATGGAATCCATTATATGTCATTCTATGATGAAGTTCCTTCTTGAACACGAGATCATTCCGGCTGAGCAACGCGGATTTGTGCTCAATGAATGCTCTAGAGAAATTAACAACGATAATCCTGTTGATGTAATTTATTTTGACTGCATCAAAGCATCTGATAAAGTCCCGATGCGTCGCTTATTTTACAAACTTGAGCATTTTGGAGTCAGAGGTGGATTACTTCAGTGGATAGAAAGTTTTTTATGGTTTCGAACATTTAGAGTAAAAATCGATGAGTGGCTTAGTAATTCACACAAGGTCCTAAGTGGGGTTCCACAGGGAACAGTTTTAGGCCCCTGACTATTCATAGTTTATAACGCCGATCTTATCATAAAACTTTCCAGTCCTTTCTCTCTGTTTGGGGACGATTTGAAATCGTATAAGATCTTTGACCACCATGCTGTTTCTTTCGTATTCTTAATTTTGACTGTTCTTCCGCGTACTTCTTGTGCGCTTTCTATTCGAATTTTTTTGAGGATTTTCCAGTCTTCCTATTTTCTGAAATTTGTCCTCCAGTTCTTGTTCATTTAATTTTTCTTGCACTCTTTCTCTGAAATTTTCTTTATGGCGTTCCCCCTTAGTTCATACGATTTCATTTTTGAGTTCTTCTTTTTTTTATCCATTTCCCCAGCGCGTCCATCGTTCAATCTTTTTGATTTCACGTACCCATAGATAGCGTTTTGTGCATTTTTTCTCTTTTTACTCCCTTCTTGGACACTTGCTTCACTCTTTGATCTTCTTTTACTCTTTCTGAACCTCTGCGTTTGATTGATTGCCTATTTCCTTTGCATTCTTCTAATCTCATTGTTTCACTTAAATCACTTTATCTTTATTAATTAGGTCTGAGCAGCCAAGACAATAAGAGACTGTTTAATATTTTTGCTAAATTAAAAAACAAATTAACGAAAACCGTGTAAAAGAGAATGCTTTTTTCTGCGTT